CAAATATAACGATCCAATTTCATCTACCCCACAATATTATTTTAGTGCATTTATCTGGGAAATGATTGGATATAGTTTCACATTCAAACCACTAATATTTTTTCTATTCGGTATGGGAGACTTGAACTGTAGCTGGTCACCATTCTTTGTATCTTTTTTTACACTCTGGTATATGCTGCACTTAAAATTTTCTGCAAGTCAACTTTCTCAATAGAAAATAAATGCATTAGATGTAAATTTACATCAACTGTGATGACAAAATATATTTTGGATGATGTGTACAATGTAATTGAGATAAGTGACCCGACCTAAATACATAAATAGAGTACAAAGGACAAGTATCTAACTTACTGTTCACATGAACTGAATGTTGTACCTCTGCACATGGAGAAAGTGTTCAATCAAACCATTGCTCTTCAGTTCATGTTCGTCCATTGGCAGCCAGGATGCCTCTCATGCGTTGAGTTTATTTTGCGTTAGAATGACAAGTTGGCAGGTTTGTGATGTGATCACACATTATTCACCAAAGTTCACGTAACCCTTAGCATAGTTATTTTTTAAAAATCTCTTTATATGCCATGAATTCTTTACAGTACGACAACCTGCAGCATTGGTTCTCTGTATTAATATTTGTTCTGCGTCTGTTTCTCCCTCTCTCCCAGGATAGCAAGTTCTTTACTTCTTGAGGATTTGGTAGTTCATTGTCCTCTGTGTATCTGGGACTGATTGAACAGTCATAATCCAGTCCTGTAACTACAGAAACAAAATGTGTTGGATAAACACTAATAAAAGGTTCTGTTTCAGTTTCAAAGTTTTCTTACTTTGGAAGCAATTCAGATAAAGTTTTGAATGTTTAGCATTTCATTCTTGCCAATTGTGTCATTGGATTTCTATTGATATCTTATAATGCAACTTCAAATCATTAGACTGGTGGTAGGTCTAGGGAAACTCCGGCCAGTCACACAAATCTATATATTTTAAGCTTGTGCACAGATGCCAAAAAGTAACCTCATCTTACAGTCATACTCAAACATCAGGAATTACTATAACCGTTATCAAAGCTACACTGCTGAAAAAAAAAGAATATTTTACTTGCATTTAACTGGTTGACACTTTGTTCCTATTGGGATATCTTCCTGATCTGGATCTGGCCTCCTCCTTGTCCCCCGAATCCTTCACTCCACCATCGGCGGCCGTGCCTTCAGCCACTATGCCCCAAGGTTCTGGAATTCCCTTCCTCACTCCCTTCGCCTCGACCCTCTCTTCTTATTTTCAGGTCTCGGCTGAAGATCTTTCTTTTCGACCGGGCCTTTGGTTATCTTCTTCCCCCTCCCCCTTGCTCGGTCCTGGGAATCCTTACTGTGAAGCGCTCTGACATGCCCTCTGGGGTGGAGGGCGCTATATAAATCCAAATTGTTGTTGTTGACGTGAAAGGCGCTATACAAATATGATTTGCTGTTTGTTATTATTCACATGCCAAAACATCTGGTTCAAAACCCAACTCTACCGCTCTGCCTCCAGGACCACTGCTGTGCTTACAGAATGTCTGTCAGACATCAAGTCCTGGATGAGAGCCAACTTTCTTCAGTTGAACGTCAACAAGACCGAGGCTCTCCTGATTGGCTCCGTCAGCGCCTCCTCACCTCAGCACTGACAGCATCACCATCCATGGTTGCACACTCCACCTTGCTAAGCCAGTCCAGAACCTTGGGGTCTTGTTTAACTGTCAACTATTCTTTCTACCCCACATCTGCGCTATGACCCGCTCTGCCTTCCCCCACCTCCGCAACATCACCCAGCTCTGCCACTGTCTCACATCGCAGGCCGCCGAAACCCTCATACACGCTTTCATTACATCGAGGCTCGACTATGCAAACTCCCTGCTTGTCGGCCTCCCCAACTCCTCTTTCCACAGGCTGCAAATCATCCAGAACTTTGCAGCCCATGTCCTCTCCCGCACTAGGCTCCGCGACCCTATCACCCTCTTCCTTGCCCAACTCCACTGGCTTCCCATCACACAAAGGATACAATTCAAGATTCTGGTCCTCGCCTTCAAAGCCCTCCACGGTCTAGCTCCCCCCTACCTCTCCGACCGCCTAACCGCCTACCACCCTGTTCGCTCCTTCCACTCAGCGGGCTCCGGCCTGCTTCACGTCCCCCGCCTTGCTCGCCCCACTATTGGCGGGCGGGTCGTCCGCAACTCTGTCCCCACCATCTGGAACTCCATCCTGCACTCCCTCCATCTCACCCCCTCCCTCGCCACCTTCAAGACCCACCTCAAGATCCTCCTCACCGACCGTGCTTTCAATCTCCCCCCCCCCTGCCCTCCTCCCCCCTGACCCTCAGCTCGGGTCCGTAACTCTGTCTGTCCAGAGCCTTGAGGCGTCCTCCCAGCTTGAAAGGCGCTATACAAATGTAATTTTGTTGTTGTTCAGCAAACAATGATTTCCGCTCAACATGTACACAAGGCACAGGACCCAAGCATCAGCATTTGCCTGAGATCTCCACAGAATGAGAAGGAAATAGTCTATTCTCCAATAGCATTTTACCCCTCACCCCACCACCACCACACACACATACAAATTTTCTTCCCTCCTATTTTCCTTCTGATGAGGTGTTTCATGGTCTGTACTGTACCTATTATTCTTGGGTGAGCTTTGACAGTGTATTTTGGTAGAGGGGGATGGGAGCAGCAAATGCAAACAAAGCTCAAACTTGATCTTACCCTCACCCACAGCACATACTCCTCAAGCAAAGGATGCTGGGCAGCAATCCAGCCCATAGACCCCTCCCCAGCATAGGGTTCTGAGGCCATTTGCGGTATCTCTTTGGCCATCTTGGCTGAAATCAACAGACTCAACATTAAGAAGATTGAACCCAGTAACTTCAGCTATTAACTGGATAAACTCAGGGAGGCTTCAACAGCATTTGTTACAAATGTAAAATCAGTTCAATTAAATCACTGTTATCCTTTCTTATTGTCAGCACTCTGACAGAATACAATATTAAGGACTGTAGCTCACCTTTATTACAATCAAAGATCCTAGGAAAAAAAACGTATCTAGTGCACCAAAGTACATTTTCTACAGAACAATGTATGTCGGTATTCTAAATGACACAAATCTGCCTTGATAAAGGTCTCGTGCTACAGGACTCCTGTACGTTTTCAGATAATTGTGAAAGTTGAAAGGCATTACTACTGGACAAGGTGATTATGAAAAATGAAATCTAAGAATAATTACCTTGAAAACAAAAAGTGATGAAAACCAGTGAATACAATTAACTAAGGATGATACCCAAGGTCAAAAATATGTAAGAGGTCATTAAAAAGGTGGATGGCTGATGGAGATCAGAGGAAATACACATGGAGATTAGTTATGCATGAACTAAACTGGGAAATGTTTGAATCTTTAAAAATTGTGATGGAATTGACCAATTTAGGCTGATATTTTCAGGAGCCCAAGAGTGTTTTTAAAATAGGAGAAATAAAGTGGCTCATGTGCTCCTCATATCAGAAGAGTGAATCAGAATGAGCTACATAAAAGTAATGTAAAAGTCGAGAACAAAATTCACACAGGGTGGATGGATTGTGACATTCTCTGTCATAACTATTTGTTAAAGCAGAGTCCATAGCATTCTTTTAAAAAATAATTTAAAAAATGTATCAGAAAGAATACTAAACAGTATGGGAGTGAACAGGAGAATGGGATCAATTCTAGGCACGTTTTGCTTGTAGAAAAACACATTAGATAGACCAAATGGCCTGTTTCTATGCTGGAACATTTTATGATTTGATGAATTAAATATTCCAATTAGTCTATTTCTGATAGAGATGGGGGAAATGCAAATTATTTAATAAGATGGTCTCAATAATAAATCTTGCATTTGATATAGTGCCATCTTTCGAGACATCTCAAAGCAGTTCAGAATATACTGTAAAGAGCATTACCCCTGGAACGCGATTGGCCAGTCGACTAATAACTTGGTTCCTACTTACTGATAGGTAAATAGAGGCGTTTGGAGTAAGGTAACTTGCCTAAGGTTTCACCCCACCCAGGAATCGAATCCAGGTCCTCTCACTTGCTAGGCGAGAGCACTAACCACTACGCTACAGGACTCCACCTGCTCTTTTCAAATAGTGCCCAGTAGCTCAGACGCATACTATCATCTACCTGAACAGGGATGGTGAGTGGGGTTTAACATCTCATCCGAAAGACATAATGCAACACATTGCAAAATTTCAATGTTTACCTAAGGATTACGAAAGCTGGGGTAAGTTATCAGTAGTTTAGAAGCAAAAGGATAGGGGTTTATTTACAAATTGGAATTCTTTGAATTGGTAACTAATGAGTGACCAATAAATCATTAGTGGATGCAATATAGTTGGATTTGTAGAAGGAATTTAATTTTATTTGTATTGGGACTTACAAAAATAAAAATAGATGAAACGGTTAGTAAAATTAGCTGAGCAATAGGAAGCAGTTGGGGAAACCATTGGATAAGATAGGTGTCAGTTTGGCTCAGAGGTAACACTTTTGCTGCTGGGTTGGACGGGATGTTCTTTGGGTGAGTTATTAAACCGAGGTCTCATTTGTCTGCTCAACTGGATGTTAGGATCTTACCGCACTATTTAGGTGTCAGTCGATATCAAATTCAAGAATCATTATAATTACCACCACTTTGGATTTCCATAGAAATTGGTTACTCCTCTGAGCAATTTGATCCGTGAAGACCTTTGAGATGAATTAACATTATACTGCATCTGCAAGATGCTATAATGTAAGTTTATTGTATCTCAGTAGAATCCAGTGAATTTCTAAAATATTTGCACTGTTGTTCGTTTCTGTATAAATTATTCCTTAGGTGCCTGGATCAGGCAATCTGTTTCATGCAAGTGAGATTATGGTGCATTTCAATTCTGCATGGTGTTTTGATTATGTATGCAGAATTCAGCAATGCTGGCTATACAGAAATTATTTTTTTTCAAAGAATGTACAACATTTTTTCACATTATGAAAATAGTTTATTTGCATATTACACAATTCAAGCTTTTTTATACAAATTTGAGTTTGCTGATTCATGATACTGTATTTCTGCTGGCACAGCTACATAAAGAAAAACAAATCCCTAATACAGAACTACTGGGCAATTAGTGTTGCACAGAAATATTAAGGTGCATTAGCAATTGTTGGACAGATGAGATAAATCATTAACGTAGGTTGCAGTTAGTCTTACAGCATGAAGGTTAAACAAAGTAAGTAGTGCAATACCATTTATTTCAACTTAGTATCTAAAATACAGAAGCTTTCAGGATCACACAGGTGAAAAATGTAAAGACCCGCCCAAAACAGAATGGTCTTTATAGCATACCTATTTTGAATGTATATGCATCTGTATGCAATAGGCTACTAAGTTGAATCCTGAAAACCTTTGAATACTTCAACTCGTACTTTGCTCCAGTAAAAGGTTAAGACTACTTTGTTAAAGGTCACACCATTTTTATAGCAAGAACTTGAATTCTTTAAAAATATGCATCCATTACCAATACCTTCCTAAATAAAATGGAAGGCCAAATTGTAGCCAGTTATTGAGCTCGGAAACTGAATCTCACTGGTGCATTCATTTCAGTTGTGGAACCAATCTGAAAAGTCTAATTACTCTGATGTTCATGTTAGACGGCATCATTCAACATCATGAAAACATCAGTACCTGTACATTTGAAATAGGAAAATTATACTAGGTTTCCTGGACAAACTCTTAATAGATCTTACAAAACTCTTTCTACAGGTCTTTTCAGTTTTCTTGTTAAACTTCATCCAACTTAGTGGCAGGAAAATGGTCCCATTTAAACCACTATTCTGTTAAGAGGTCTCAGTTTAGACAAAGTTAAGATGAATAAAATGTTTAAAGAACATTAATTATAAATGTCAATCTCCACTAAAGTGCTTCCAATATTTGGTATCCACAATACATTAACAATTCACATCTGGTTGACTTAATAGGTTGAGACTGCAAATACCAAAATACTAATAAACAGAGTTCAACTTGCCAGTAGGAAACAGATTTTTAAATATCCGCCCCCTAAACAAAATTACTAATCAATTTTATTTTTGATCTACAGATTTGAATAATAAAATGGTTATAGTGTTAATATTAACAACAAATGTTTTAGGTTAATTGTAGACAATGACTCAATATTCAGTTTGCATCATTATCATGGACAACATATGAGGCTGCTATCAAGTCAGATGCCACTTAATTTTAAAGAAAGCAACTAGTTTCTAATTGTTTTATGTGAATAGACCTTTTTAGGTCAATAGGAACCATCTCTTAATGAATTCAGTAAACAGTAGATACACCATAGTTGAAAATTAACAACATTTTCAGTACTTAAATAATCAAAGTTATAAAGGGATACCTGAATTCTGGCAGAGGGATGCAGTCAAGACTACCAAGTACAAACAAGACAAATATCTGGAATTTTCAGCTCCGATACTGAGATTTGTATGCACATGAGTAATGCACACACTATAATAGGTATGTTATTGGACAAAATATATTTAGCCAAAATATTATCATTTATGGTAATTAGCACTTAAAGAACTTATACATCCTAAAATACAAAAATAATAATCAGCTTGTTATAAACTGTAAGGTAAAACAGCATATGTTACAGCATGCGGTATATTAAGGGTCCTTAAGGAATTCTAAAATTCTCACAGTAAACATTCACTTCCAGTAATAGCTGTAAGGTTTGTCAGAAGTGTACGAGTGCTTGTCTGGAATTGCACTGGATTAGATGTAAATATCTCACCTAACAGATAAAAATAGTTCAAGTAAATGTGTATGTGTGTATATATATATATATATTCTGTTACTTTGGGAAACGCAAAAATTGTTTTTCTATGTAAGACTTTCGAAATTAGCGAGTACAACATCAATACAAGAATTATACATAAAGTAGTTTGCCTAATTGTGCTGTATGGCATTGTGAAACAGTCACAACAAAACATTTGCTACAAATTAGCATAGGTTTGTTTTTATTTGCTCAAGACAGCAAGAGATCTGACTTTTCAATATGCTTTCTTACTTCCTAAACAATGTTCATGGGCTATAATTCATAAAGTTGGATTTAGTTTATGGATAATCCCATCAAAGGGTAACACTTGAACTCAAGCCTTTGATACAGAATCCTAAAAGAACTTATGCAAATTTTAGAAAAATTATAAAAATGAACAGACTTTGTTACACAAGGAATGGCTTCAGTTACAAAATGCATATAAATAAAGTACAGTTTGTATGCAATAGTGATAGGCAATCGCTAAGGAAGACTGATCATTTTAATATGAGGCTTGCCTGGATTCAATAGATTGATAAATGCAAAACTTCCATAGTGCTGTGGGATCTTTAATTTCCACCTGAGCAGGCAGGCAGGGTCTCAGTTTAACATCGCATCCAAAGGACAACATCTTAGACAAAGGAACACACCCCAGCAGTGCATTTAGTGTCAGTTTACACTACGTGAGTTCAAGTCCCACCATGGGACTTGAATCCACAATCTTCTGACTCAGAGGAGAGAATGCTACCGCTGAGCAGAGCTGACACACTATCTCTTGAGAGATAAGATATTATCTTTAGTAATTGATTGAGAGCTGAGATTGGAAGGCAAACAATAAAACATCATTGCACTGGTTTACAGTGGAATAAATCAATGTTGAATCAGCTAGTTGAAATCTATTTTTCAATGTAATGCAGGCATCATTCCTATACAATTCAAAATGTCTAGAGTACCGAGTGGCTGGAGAAAACTGTTCGACAATCAAGTGATTCTGCAATATACACACACACACGCTTATTAAAGGACCTGCACAAGATGCATCACCGCCTGTTGAATATTCCATATATTGCCCATCTCTTGCATCAAGCCATTAATCATGCAATCGATGAAGTCCATGATATCAATGGTTGTGGTCCATTTGAGATATTTAAGCATGCAAATAAGTAGAAGCTAGCATTTTTCAGTCTGTGATTAATAAACTGAACCTATCAGAATTCCATGCATCTATGTGTTTTGTCATCACGTTCATTTTCCTAGCTCAAGGCAGCAAAATTCATACACAAGTATTGGGACAGTATGAGACTCATTAAAGAAGACCCAGCCAGTTCAAAGAATACAAAGAAACTACATCTGGCAAAAATCCATCAGAATCACCACGCTTTCAGACATCCCGCTGTGAAAATTGCAGATGGAAACAAAAGAAACACTATGCATCTTACTGAAACTCTGATTGGCTTACTGTGACCTCAAAGCTGTTGCTGATAACAAAAATGCCAGGAAAAGTAGTGAAACGCTATGCAATGGACTCCAAAAGTAAATATGTTATCTTTAATGCCTTTTCATCAGCATTTCAAAGTAAACTGAAAGCAATCATAGCCTGCAATGTTTCCAGGGGACTCCATGGACTAAATTCTTTCATTTCCAATTGCAGAATATTTCATTCATTTTTCAATTCTCCAATGTCATGCAATATTAGCGACAAGAGAATAATCTTGACACATTCCCTTGCATTAAAGAATTCAAGCATGCTATTTCTTTATCTGAAAGTTAATTAATAACTAACAGGTTACCAGAATATCTTCTCTAAATGACGTATTGCTTAGATGCGTGACTGGAGCAGGATGATACTCTATTAAGAGACTAAAGCACATAATATAATCAAACAATTATAGCGCATCATCTATGTGTAAATAGACACATAACACCCCAATGCAATTGTTGAAAATTAATTATTGAAGATTATTTATGGCTCACAAAATAAAAATGCCATTTTGAGTAATGAATAAAAAGTTAATTGAATATTCTTAAATGCAAATAATGAAATGAACACTGCTTGCATTTTGTATTCTACTCCTACTGCTCATCTACTTAAAATGTATATAATCTCAGCTATGCTAAAAGAGATTAAGCCTTTGAAACAGGTAATGCTGAAACAGTAGTGTTCAAGTAGGAAAATAGTAAATGTGTGTGCTAACAAAGAAATGCCAGCCCTAACTAACGCAATACAATCATTAATCAGGTAAATGCACTAAAATTAACAAAAATAAGAGTACTTGGATTAAAATATTTTACTTTCTATTCATCTCTGAAAATTATGAAAACCTCTAGCCGAAGTTCTTTGTTTAAAGCAAATGCCCATAGACAAAGATGGATGGTTTTAGCAATTGCAAAAATAATGAACCACTTTAAGCAAAAGCAATGATGCTGTACACAAATAGCATATGGAGTATGGAGATTTGAATTCCTTTGGAAGTACCTTTTAAAATAAGTCTAAATTTTCTAGTTGAAAATGGCATAAGAAATAGAGCCTCAATATTGCTCCATCAAAACACCCCAAAACAACATCATAGTATCAGCACATGTGTTCAGAGTGAAATTAAGATTTGCCTCCACCGTGCTTCAAGGTATTAATCCTGATTATTTACCCTTGTATGGCCGCCAGTGATGAACATTGTTGAAATGTACCATTTTGATTTCAGTATGATTCTCAGCAATTCTAGGTCTCAGTGTACTACAAGATATACAATTTCTTAGTTTCCCTTTTTGTCATCACATTATTTGCTGTTGAAATCAGAACACTTTATAGCAAATATTTTCCAGAGATTTCAAACTATCTTAGAATGGACCAGCATTGGGCCCTGGTTGCAAACATGACAAGTACCTACCCATGGGGGGGGGGGGAGTTGCAGGAGGGGTTCAGAAACATTGCAACTACTTCACTGGTACCAATAGTTACAATCAACTCATTGGTGAAACAAGCTTGTGAAACTGATACCAGAATGCTCACATGACGCATTGCTGTCTAAAACAGAGGACTGCTGAGGTTTTCAAAGTTTTGTTTATTGTATTCATACCAGTAGACAAGCATCCATTCTGACTGAAAGGATGGCCTAGTCGAGCTAAGGTTTAACTTTAAGAGAAGCTACACCTCACCAGCTGAGAAACGTATGTAGAAACAAGCATATTCTCTTTAATATAATCAAACAGAAATATTATACTTGCAGGTCTAGCACTGCATAGATTAAAAACTCAGCCAGCCAAGCATCAGTTCTCTTGTACAGTACATGTGCATTATAGAGGTTATTGCTTAAAACACTTCAGCAGCAGACTAATATTTTTATTATATGCATTAAGGTGCACCACTCTCGTCATACAACATCTTCACGGGGAGAACAAATTTATAGATTAGGCCATAGTTGCAAATTCAGATTTTTTAAAGTTTTTAAAAATCGCTGAATTTGCATGATCCTCTACTTCCCAGCAATGAGCACTGATCCAATAATCCATCCATAAGCAGAATAATAACCATGAGATCAGAATATCCCTTACTTTATGCTGAATTGGTACAAATCCTGACTTTTTTTTTTAAAATGGGAGAGTGGAGGGTAAAGACAAAGTCTAAATTTTTTAACCCTTTTACAGGGCATTTGTGATTTTTTTAAAGCTTCTGCATGATACAAAACTCTCGCTATTGCTTTTATGCCCATTAACAATGCTGGCACTTTTGAGGATTTCATAATTTTGTTACATTTTGCATTGAATTGCGTCAATTTTAAGACATTTTTCTCATGGTGAGATAATGTACAAACAGAATTAGATTAATGTACCATAGAGGAAATGAACACTATTTGAAAATGAAATATAAGTTTATACCAGTGACAGAGCTAAAGATTAACAAACTTTTCCAAAGTTAGGGGTGGCTTTATCCACACAATGGATGGAACAATTGCAACCAAATCCATCTTAAATTTGCTGCAGTACACGTTGGGAGGGAGGCAGAGGACTAATCATTCCACCCTGAAGTGGAATTAAACTGAACAAATTTGCTTCATGCAAGTATAGCTTTGGTTCATTAAGCTGGAATTGCAAGTACTACCCAGTTAAATATTAATTAAGCTTATAGTTCAAAATCTGCAATGTTACACAGCCCTGATTCTCATGTAATATCAAAGCATTGCAATGAAGAAATAACAGTTAGATCCAATTCATCCCTGTACTGAAACCGCAGCAAGGCAATGAGAAGCAACATGTAGCTTTGACCACATTACGAGCAACAAGGAGTGCAAGGCATTTCTGTACCTTGTGCAATTATTTGCATTCTCTACCAATAGCTGTTTTGATGTAAAATAATGTTAAAGGACATTGAAAGAAGAGTCTGCATTTCAATGAAAGATGGGCACGATGATTGAGATGAAATGCTTTGCAAAACCACTTCTATAAACAAGTTATCACTTGTCATCTTTAAACATCGAAAAGTTCAGATTGTAAGTATTCAAATTTTAAGTATTATTCAGAAATACTGCTCTTCTGTTGATACTCGTGTAAACATAAGAATTTTACCATTAGTTTTCAAAAAAATATTGAAACATTGTGCAAAATAGTCTAGTAAACGATAATTTGGTGTTAATCATGATCTTGTAAAAAAGTAAAAGGTAATGGTAACTCTTATTTAATCTTGTTGCTAATTGATACGCTCCTCAATCCATGATGGACACCTTCAGAACAGCTATCGCGGTTCAATCCTTCTGGCTTGATTCTGTGCAAACTGATTAGATGCGAGTGCAAGATTTATTCTTCCCCCCAAGTATGGTGGAATGGTGTGCCTGATAGGCTTCACAAATCATCATCCCCAATGCCCTCAAAAGCATAGTTACCATGGAAGTCATTTGCACTGATGTCATTGGAGGAATTCGAAGTGCTGATTCCTCGTATGCTGACAGAAGAAAGCTTACTCTACAAAGATAAGGGGGAGGAAAAAAAGAGAAAGGCAAAAAAAGTTGATTAGAACACTAAGCTTGAAAAGAAACAAGACTACAATTACTTAAGTCACAGATAAAAATCATCAATGGAAATTCAATTCACTTTTATGCCATTCACTGACTGTACTGACCAATTCAACACCAGTATGTACCATCAGGAGAAAAATCTGAAAAGGCCAACATAGTTCTGAAATGTTGCAGAATTACGTAAAATTCAGAAACCTTGAGGGAAGTCTGGCTCATTTAAGATAGGTCCTAAATTGGAGTTGAGCACATTTTAATTGCAACTGGTAGCACTATAATCCAACTTGAAGTACTTGATGCCAGCAATGGGCTCTTGAAATTGTGACGTGTTTTTGTTCCTTTTCTCAGGCTAATATTCCAAATAAAGAATGATTTATTAATAGATGTTATGGAACACCACAGGTATGCCAGCCACTACTGCTAGCAGTCCTTAATTTATAATAAATAATGCTTGCATCTGTTGTGTCTTATTATTGAAATTTGTCAAAGCCATTCCGAGTTATTGTAAGGTGCAATGACTAGATTTAATAGTTGAATAAAGCAACCATTTTGCACACAGAGTGTTCCACAAGCCATGAAATTTTATCTGAAGAAGTGTTGGCCAGGACACCAGAAAAAATGTAATAGTTGAACAGAGAAGCAGTCAACAGAGAACTGCTGATGTCAAAAAGAATAGCCAGTAAAGTCAATTGGTTGTTTCCAGAATCCTATTTAGGGAAATAATAATCCTTGCATTTGGTATCAAGTCATCAAGATGTCTCAAGGCACTTCACAAGATATATTGTAAAGTAGATTGAGTAGGTATTTTGAGGGCAAACATAGCAAAATACAAAAGGTTCTCTCTTGGTGGAAAGAAACAACATCACATTCCTAATCCTTCATCAGAAACAAGGGAGCTGAGCAATGATCTTGACTCACAACCCAAGTCGTGAAAGGTCAGGGGCACGTTTGGGATGGATCCTTTATTCATGCTGCTGAAAGGTCATTTGTTGAGCAAGTCCCTCACAAAATGATTCATCCCAACTTAGTACTATGCCAAGTGCTCTCCCATAGTTTATAATCAAATGGGTAATGTGGCTGGAGGAATGAAATGTTTTGCACTCATTTTATTTTTATGGTAAACAGTAACTTTGATAATAGGCCAGAGAAGTACTGACTTGCCATATACTGGAAATGTTCCAGATCCAGTTAAAATAACTTGTATTTTATAGCATCTTCAATGTCAAAATGTTGCAAAGTGCTTCACAATACAGTGCTAAATGTAGTGACTATTCTTTATAGACAAATACAGCAGCCAATTTGGATGGAGCAAATAGCTTTGAGATGAACAACCAATTTATCTGTTGGAATGTTTCCCAGGACACCAGAAAATTCCCTTCCGTCTTTCTAACAGCATCATGAAATCTTTAACATTGATTTGAACAGATGAATATATTGCTTGGAGGCAAAGGTGATTTACGTGTCAGTGTGATTCCATCTTTGTCCCATCGACAACAAATCTACTTGTCCCAAACATCAGATGCCCCCAACAAATCTTGCAGGAACAGTCAATTGAGGTGCTGGTAAACCTCTAGCAAGCCAAGTTTCAGGAAACTTGTATAACACATTGTGTAGTGTTCACTTTATTGGGCAAAAATGAACTATGAGGCATCAGGTATATTACCTTATAAGTACAACATGCGACAACCAGACATCAATGCATCAAAATAGTATTAAAGAGAAATCTCTTTAGACATTTTCTCTGGAAAGTGGATGTCTTCCTTTCTCATAAAATAAGAAAGATGTTCACAATGCCAAAAAATGAGATTAATTATAAGACCACTTTCAGTACATGCTATCCAATACACATCTATTTAGAACATAAGATGTGTAAAGACCAAAGTAAAAAAAACTATTTTGGGGGCACAAACACTTCCAAAATGTAATTTTAGGCTTATTATAATAGCATTTGATATAGCACCTTAACATGTCTTCGAGACATCTCAAAGCACTTCACAGAATGTACTGTAAAGTGAACTAACTATATTCTGTGGGTGAAACGTAGCAGTCAATTGCAGACAGCAGAGTCTCACAAACAGTCATGGATTGAGTGAACAATTTATTATTATAATAATTTTTTGGAAGGAATTATTCAAAAGGAGTTTCCAGTTACCCCCTCTCCTCGCACACCCCCGCTCCCCACTGACATCCATTGTCAGGCATTAAGTGTTGCCTCGAGTGGCTATGGCAATGGATTAGATGCCCAGTGACTGGGGTTATGAGACTGAGGTTAAGTCACATCAAGACACACCAGTAGCCTCAATAACCTGTGTTCCCCACAACCTATAGTCCTTCATTTTATTTCTACAACTTATTTCTCTTAAGCGATAATACACAGTAAAAGCCGCTCAAGCCGGACACACCATTTTGTCCGACTTAAGAGGCGTCCGCGGTTAACCAAAGCTCCCTCCCTCACCTCTGTCAACCCAGCAGAGAATCAGCCGTGGCTCCTCCTCCCTCCAATTACCATTCCCGTTTCCAATAGTTTTCAAAAATGTAATTTCTTTCAAGAACATTCCATGCAAGTCACCAAAGCACATTTATGAGCTTTGACAGGTATCTGGCAGGTTCCACATTTAAGCTCTAAATCCAAGTAAATTTGAAGAAAGTAATCAGAAGATTTACTGCAGTTTTTCCTACACAGAATAGAAAAGAAAATTGTTACTTTAAGTTGCAGAAATGCTGAAGTGAGTTTACTTACTGAGAGTTTTAAAATAGGTTCTCTGCTCGAATCAGGAGAATCCTGGAGAAGTAAAAAAAATCAAGTTTTACACACACTGAATAATTACATCCATTCCCAACTTTAAAAGCTGACATTTCTGGTACAGAAATCAATTTTCTTTGCAGAGATTATATACAGACAACATCAAGAGTTGCATCAGTGCACTATACAGTGGAATATTTGCCAAAAGCAAATTCCACGCTCGAGGCACAGAACTAATTGGAACAAACACGAGAGGTGAGGTATGTAGCACTATCAGCATGGTGGTGGATTGGGGAGTGAGGAGGTCACAAAGTGCCAGCGAGTGAAGGGATTTGAACATGAAGGTGAGGATCTTGAAGTCGATTTGTTCAGTGATGGGGAGCCTGGCCAGAACTGGTGAGATGTGGGTACGGAGTTTGGTCCAGGTAAGAATGCGGTGGCAGAGTTCTGCATAAACTGGATTTTTTGAATAGTGGAGCTGGAGAGACCGTCGAGGAGTGCATTTGAGCAATCCAAGCGGGGGGTGGTAAATGCATGCACGAGGGTTTCGGCTGCATTTGGGGTAAGGTACGGTTGGAGGTGGGCAATATAGCAGAGGTGGAAGAAGGCAGTTCTGGTCATGGACTGGATGTGGGGGAGGAAAGACAGCTAGGGGTCGAACTGGCCGCCTAGATTTCACACTGGTTCGGTGAGTCTAGGAGAGCGCCCAGGGAGGTTGAGGAGGTTAGATCAGCAGGAGTGAATACATTGACGGGAGCCAAGGAGTATGGCTTCCGTCTTGTCCACATTCAGCTGCAGGAAGTTATTAGATTTTTTAAATGGTAGGAAGAGAGTATGGAAGAAATTTGTGCTAAATTTTGAAAGTAGTTTTGATTTTCCAGGGCTGTTCTGAATTGATTGTATGAAAGGATTATAATAGATGCACAGGAGGAGGCTCAAATTTAGACTACTCATTGCACCAATTAAACAATGTAATATTAGTAATGACTTGCATCATAATGTAAAACTTCCTCATAGTTATGTATTAGTGTTTAGCCTGGGATATTGAACCCCTCAATCAATCCAAACCTTTTCCTCATTTAGTTAGAAACCTAAACTAAAAAGCCACTAAAAAAGATCCATACTAGTAGTGGAGGAGATTTCACAGCTTGCTGACTGTCTGATCGACGTAGGGCTCCATTCATACGCTTCTTTGACATCTGCAGATACAAGATTAACAAAACAGCTCATGCCTAAAATATTCAAAAGTGATAAGAAGCAGACCCCTATATAGCCTAGGGATGCAGTACCTGAAAAAATTGAACAGTGAGTTACAATGTTACCTTGGGTCTACATTAAAGCAGACTTTAATGAAATGCAGAAAAATAATGACAGATACCCAAGTTCTATATAAATAAAGAACATCCCTGACAGTTTTTGCATAGGATTTCCTCGATAGAAAGACTTAGTAGAAATAAAAATTTATATAGCGCCTTTCACATTGGGAGAATGTCCCAAGGCCAGTGCACATTCAACAGTGTGTTGAGTGCACATCCAGGATTAGGGTCTCAGCAGCCTGAGGGGAGATGTAGCGGTGGAATCATGCAACAATGTCCCACAAAACAGAAATGAATGGCCTTTTAATCTAGGAGTTTTTTGGCGGGAACATCAGGAAAACCCCCTCCTCTCTTTTCAAATAGTGTCATGGGATCTTTTAATACAGACTTTACATTTTTGAATATTTAATTCACCTTCTTTATGCTGCCACCCGATTTTTTCACCATCAGTTCATCCACCATCGCTTGCAAAGAAATGCTCATCATTATTGCCTAGTAAACAAAAAGAATCAAATAAATAGAAGCAAAGAGTAGCCACTTGCCCGTTAATCAGAATTTATTCAGTATTTTGTTATACACAACTCACTAATCTCAGTCACTCTGTCATGAAGTGCTGAGCAGTTGCCTCTTATGGAGCGGAGCAAGTTGACTGACAACAATTACCTCCAGTCTGCTCTTGCACATCTATGAGTGGGAGGCAAGAATGATTTTGAAATTTTCAACCAAAGAGGTTCTCAAAAACAATTAAGGCAATACTCATGCCTCTCAGTTGAAGTAAAAAATCTCACTGCAGCATCTATGCACACTGAATTATAAGTACGAGTGACAAGCGAACAATTTGCATTGAAAGTCAAGACTAGATTGCAACATGTTACAATTAATTCTCTAGATTAATATCTTCAATTTTCCTTCCCTTGGTTGATTTTACAATGCAACTGTAAACGTATTGCAGTAGTGACAAAAACAACTGGAATTGGGCAATATGAGGTGCCCTCATTAACAATGAGGTTTTGTCTTAATATTGTTGCTTACCAGAAACTTACATGGAATCTGTTTAGTAAAATAATCTTCAATATTATTTAAAGAGAAGAAACAAAAAAAGTTTTGGATAAGCATCTGCTAGTAATGCTTAACTACAGATCACCACAGTAGGCGAAAACATGATTCAAAGCAGTCCAGTGGAACATACCCATGCCAGTGATCTGCATTAATTCAAGCAATATAAAGGATTTTATTACCAACAGAAAATACCCACTTTCTCAGATCAAGTAACCAAGTTATTTTCTGGAAAGCTGCATGATGAGTACTAGCCCCCAAGACAGTGAAATAAGGCTGTATGAGGGACACAACATTTGAGCTTTTGCTTTTTGACAAATAAAACTTCAAAGTTGGAAAGTTGAATGGTTGTGTTCACATCACCCCCTAATATTAAGATAATTTCTAACACTCTGGATTTAACAATAAAATGCAGTGCCTTTTATACGAGGAGGAAGTCTTGTCCCAAAGAATTTCACAGAATATACAGTAAAGTGGAGTAACTTGCCCATTTTTGTGGGTGAACAAATGATACAAACAAGTGATAATGCAGTAGTTTAGGTCCATAAATGTAGATCTTGCATTATAAGTATGCTTAAAAATTACCATGGGTAAGTGCTTCCCAGATTGTCAAGTTGATGTATTATAAAAGAATTGTCCTGTATTAAGTGCACAACTCACTCACTTTTACGAGCACAGATAGACAACTGTCTTATTTAAAAACATTTCTTACCTGTGAGCTGCAAATTGTTACCCACTGGAGACGGTCTTTACTCATCAAATATTCAAAAGCTAACTCTAGTTTTGTTTCAGTCTTTCCTGGGCTGTTTGTCAATGGAACCTGCAAACATTTAAAAACACATCAACTCAAAAGAATTAACAGTCCTGAATAAGTCTTACACTTCAGCTATTAAGGACAACGACATGTTGTAAAAATGGCTTTCATTTGCTGTTAAAATGTCAATAAATGTATTCTGTGGCATTTTTCAGCAACTGGCACTGTGCTACGACTATACTACTGTATGCTGTATGCCTTGCACATTCTTCCAATTGCAGTTGGAATTGGTTTCATCAAAATCTATTTGTCAGCAGTTGAGCAGAAGTGTCAGTGTGTGAAATAACAGTTGCCCATCAGAACTGGGGGGATAGCAGAAACAAGCTAATATTTTAAATATATACCAAATAAATGCTTCTTTAGGTGTATTGTTAATTGTACACGTTGAAAGTCAAACTTTCAGTGTTGTAATTGACAGCAACGGAACTGATAATTAAAACCATTTTGAAACAAAGGATATTCATTGTTTTGTTAGCCACTATAAAGCTGCAATGCCCTCTTGTTGGTGATGATATCTGAATCACTGAAAGTTTATGCAATCTTTCAGGCTCTGGTAATATTATAAAAATCCTTATATTTGATTAACAGTGTATAATCAAGATGTCTCAAAGTACATCACAGGATTTTTACTGTAAATAATAATCCTTACATTTGGTACAACTCCTTTCATGGCAAGAGGAGTCCCAAAGCTCTTCACGGGATATGCTGTGAAGTGTAGTAATTGTATTTTGTAGGCAAACATGGCAGCTAATTTGCATGCAAATGTCCCACAAACAGAGGCGAGCGAAAGATCATTTTATCTAGAGGTTTGCTGACCAAGTCACCGGGAGAAACTCTCTTCAAATAGTACAATGACATAATCTAAAAGACAACTCTGACAACGTTGTGCTTCCGCAGTAATGCGTTGGAGCGCCAACCTTCACTGTGTGCTCAAAGTATCGACGTGGGGAATGAACGCACAGCCTTCTAAGTCAGATGGGAAAGTGCTTCACAACCAAGCCAGCATGACAGCTTACTGAGGCAAGCTGGTAATGTACAAAATGGTAACAGAATTGATTTAGAGAAACTTCCATACACATAAATTATATTATATATATATTCATACATTGAAGTTTCTCTATAATAGAGAAAGGAATCTTTGATGGTTGAGCTGGCTCTTTGAAAGAACAATCCACTCAGTCTATTTACCTTTTTCCCATACCCTTGCAAAGTATTCATTTTTAGATAGGAGATCATGAAATATACATCACAAAAATCTAAAAATTAAGTTTGCTTGTTCCCGATTTTAATAGTTAAAGGGCTTTCCAATTTACTCTAAATTCAAAGAAAAATTAATTATTAAACTTTCCCCCCAATTATTCTTTATCATTTTGAACCACAAAGTGAACAACTTCTGGATGGTAAGAGCAACACGCATATGACAATGTACGCAGGCAAAGTACATGCAGAGGCAATGTATGTGCGTTTTATTCAGGATGCAACATTTGTGAAACTTCTTGCACATAATACTCTTGCGCAGCACATGGAAAGTTGATGTCACTGAAGTTGAGCCCTTACAACCTGAAAGTTGACCATTCCCCCCCAAAATGGAAAAAAAAGGAAAATAATATTTTTAAACTAGTGAAAACTGGCAATCCTAAATATTAACAAGAACCTTCCTTTCCTTCTTCCCCTCCATATGTTTATTAAATTCATTTAGCAAATTTCCTAGATTTTCAACGAAGAATGTGTTTTTAAAAAAGAGGGAAGCCATTTTCTAATTTCAACTTCAGTTTTTCAAGAACATGAACAGATCACATAATACACAATAGTACCACACCACAATAAGAAAAATGGTTGGACAGAAAGAGAAAGATAGCTGGGGGGAATTTTTATTGCAACAAAATGGCTTACCGAGGAAGTAACACGCCAGCACCTCATGCGAGTGACCTTGAAACTGCCTTCTTTGACTTGATCGTTGGGTAACTTGACATGAAAATTTAGTTCATTGTTGCCAGCACTGACTATTACATGACAGCCTTTATCTGGAAAATCTGTGATGCAAGGATCAAACTTGATGTATCCATAATACTTCAGCGTTTGTGCCAATCCAATGAACTAAAGAAAAACACAATCAGTTACACCTATTAAAAAGGCATATAAAGTACACACAATACAGCTTTCAAAATTACAACAAAAATTAGCATTTATTTTGCGCCCTTCACGTCAGCTAGTGTCCAGGAGCACTGATTTCCATGAGGCAATTTTAAAATAATTTCCATGAGGTAATTTTCCTCAAGTCAGGTGATAGTTCAAATGTTTCTCCATCACAAATGTCAATATTATTCCATCACTGGCCAACATATATCATTTTCTACTCGGATTGTCAGTTTCCTTTCTTAGATTCTGCCAGTGCTCTCATTCTGTCATCCAGGGCTACATACAAGCTCAGTAGAGAACATATGACGAGAAAACTGGTTCAAGAAATTGTTTGAATCACATGGCAAAGATAACATGATTACATTTGAAATTCAGTCAAAATTCTAGTATTCACAAAAATGGTGTTGAAATGAAATGCAAAAATGGTAATACTGTACTATATCTATGTACATAAAGGCACATAGTATAAACTGAAATCACACCACAGCAAAGGACACAGGATATTACAAGCCTGGACCATGCAGAGCAAGAGCTGCTGATTTTCTGTACCATGATATGACAACAATGTTGACTATAATATACAGATCACACAAGGTGAGTGATTTTGAGTTCTATAATCTATTTCTTATGTGAAATGCAAGTTGATTTATCAATGAGGCCACATCTGAAAAGCCTAGTGGCCACTTAGTTGAACGATTGGTCTAATACAACAACAAATTACACGTGTATAGCACACTACATGTCGGAAAGATATCTCAGGGCGCTAGTAAATCAGGGGTTCTGAACCCGAGCTGGGAGTGGGGTCAGAAGGGGAAGGTGGGGGTGGGAGGGTGGCCGAGTGAGGGGCAGAGACGCTGAATGCCCGACCGCCAATGTTGGGATGGGAAGTGCAATTCTCTGAGGATTGGGGAGCCAGTGAAGCCAGACAAGATTGAGGGTAATAGGTTCCTGGTGCGGGAGAGGTCACGTGCTGCAGTTATGAATAATCTGCAACTTGTGGAGGAAACAGTTGGGAAGGCCAGTGAGCAGGCAGTTGACATAGTCAAGCTGGGACATAATGGAAGTGTGGATCAGAGTCTTGGCAGCCTGCGGTGAGAGGCAGTGGCGAAGGCGGGCAATGTTGCGAAGGTGTGGAAAGGCAGAACGGATCATGGCACAAATGTGGGTTTGAAGGATAAGCAAGGATCGAAAAGGACAGAGGTTTCGGACTGGTGAGGTGAAGAGGGTCAGCAGCTGCAGTGAGGAGGCACTGCTGGGAGAAAAGCAATACAAAACCACTCACCTCTTTCTTTGAACCTTTTTCTTGAAGTGATTTCAGCTGTCGATGCTGCTCCTTGTTCACAAGGATCCACCCTCGTTCAATATCAGAAACAGTCTGTGGTAAAAAAAACGATTGTTAGAAAGATGAGATTTTTAAAAATGGTTCACAATGTTGCTGGTAGAAACACCCAGATATACATTACCGATTTGCTTTTTTAAAAAAAACAGCAAAGAGCTCCTAAAATTAGTATGTGAATCTCAACTAATAAGACTTTTGGAGAGGAAAGATTTGACAAACTGGGGCTGTTTTCACTGAACACACAAGGAGTCCTGTAGCTCAGTGGTTAGAGCACTCGCCTTGCAAGCGAGACACGTAGGTTCAATTCCAGGCAGGGCGAAACCTTGGGCAAGTTTCCTTACTCCACACGCCTGATAATCATCCCTCCAAAACAAAAAACAATAATAAATTGATAATTTTCAATCCACGACTGTTTGTGGGATATTGCTGTGCGCAATTGGCTGCCGCGTTTCACCCACAAATGCAGTCAATTCACTTCACAGTATATTCTGTGAAGCGCTTTGAGATGTCGAGAAGACATGAAAAGCGCTATATCAAATGCAAGGATTATTATTATTATTATTAAGAGGAGACCAACAGATGCATTTATAATTATGTAGGTTTTTGATGGGTAAATAGGGAAAAAGCAATTACATTGCTTTGCAAGTCAGGAAATAAGCCAGCAAGTAGATGGCATAAATGTAAGATCACCAAAAAAAGGAAAAGTATAGAATTACTCATTTATTTACATTGAGTTACTAGGAAATGGAAAGCTCTACAAAAATAGTAGTTGCTGCAAAATCTCGAATAGCTTTTAAAAGTGAATTGGACAAATATTTGAAAAAGGTGTGTAGAACGTCAAAGGATTAAGGATTTCTGAGCATCGGCACAGATATCATTGATTGAATAGCATTCTATGCTGAAAATGTTTATTTCTACATGGAACTTCTGAAGCTACTGGACTGGGCAATAGTATCGTTGACACAGAAGTGCATATCTGATGCAGCTACAGACCACTCATTAGCAAACTGAAGATTTTTTTTTGAAGCTAGATAGGAAGACAACTAAAACTTAGGATCATTCTGCTCACTATGCTCTGCTGTTCCATCATCAAGCACATAAATTTGGATCCTCCTTACCTGCACATATAGTAAGTTCAACCCAACTCTATTTTCCATGATATCATTGTCATACATAGAATCCCAGTAGCTGTAAACAAAACATTAACATTTTGGTGAATTTTTGCTTATTAACAGTAAAGTGACATTTCTGCTGTTATTTCAGAAACTGAAAATCGTAAATCAAATCGTGTGTTACCATCCACCTTATGGAATCTTTTCATATTTGAAGACTTCTATCAGGTCCTTTCATTTAATCTCCAGAGAGAAAAACTAACCTATCTAATCTTTCTTGATAGTTGTATTACTCATCCATAGCAACATCCTGGAAAACGTACAATTTTCTTCAATGCTGCAATATCACTGCAGTATCACCCCTTCTCTCTGGAACTCCAACCTGGAGGCCCTTGACCCCTTCAAAGTCTGTCTGAAAACCTTCCTCTGACTGCATCTTTGGTCAACTTCCCTCCCCCATACACCTCTGCTCCCCTTGGTACCCCAGCCTTCCCGAATCCAACTCCCAGCTCTGGTGCAAGCCCTTGACTGTCCAGTGCCTTGGGGAGTCTTCCTGATATTAAATGCACTATGTAAATGTAGGCTGTTGACGTATTGAAGAAAATGCAGTGTACATTTACTAGGATGGCTAGACCTGTACACATTACTCCAAATGTGGTTTACCCAAGGTTTTCAAATGCCCTCCTCGCTGGCCTCCCCAGTTCCACCATACATAAAATACAATGAATTCAGAACCTCACTGCCCAGATACTAACCCGAACAAAACTCCACACCTCCATCACACCAGTCCTTGCCAGGCTGGATCGACCCCCAAATTCCAAACGGATCGACTTCAAGATCCTCTCTCTCGTTTTCAAATCCCTTTATACCCTCGCACCTCCCTACCTTTCCGACTTGCTCACGCCCCACTCGACCACCCGCTGTCTCCCCTCGGCCGGCTCCGGCCTCCTGTTTGTCCATCGCTCCACCATCGGAGGTCGTGCTTTCAGTCACTACGCCCCAAAGCTCTGGAACTCTCTCCCCCGATCCCTCTGCCTTGCCCCCTCCCTACTTTCAAATCCCACCTAAAGACCTTGCTTTTTGATCATGCTTACAATCAGCTCCCCCTTCTCTCTCCCCCCATTGGCTCGGGGTCAGACTCCGCCACTGTTAAACTCTCCGAGACACTACCTGGTGTAAAGGGCGTCATATAATTGCAAGTAGTTGTTGTTGAAAATACTGTATCAGTGGTCCAGAACAAAAGATAAATTTCAAAGCACTTAGTCACACACACTTACTAAGTGGAAGAACTACATTCATTAAATGCCCCATTAAATGACTCAAAAAGATATCAACTGGTGACCAAAGTAGGCCTTCTAATAACAATCTTCATAAACCAACCCCTGGTTATTAGATAGCATTCTAAAAGATCATGCTGGTAAGGATTGAAACTCAGCTGAGAACCCTTAGCAGACAATTGCAATAGCTGAGATGGAAGCGCGGAGTTTAAAAAGTGAAAACCGTTAGGTTTACATTGAAAAAAAACATTTTTATATAAAAAAATAGATTTGACCTATTCAAAAGTAAAGGAAATCTACTTTTATAAGATAGGCTGAAATAATTATGACTTCTTACCTTTTTCGCAGCACGATTTTGTACTCTGAATTCTTCAAGCTACTGACAGATACATAAGGCAGCTCAAACTCCTGCAGCTTTCGCACAACTGAGAACCAACAAAGCAGTTCATTAAAATAAAAATTTGGTCAATGGATAAAATCACTATTAATATTTAACTATGCATTATATTGTACGCATTTGTGCTACAGATAAAACAATGAATCAGCTCTGATGGATAATGGAGCCTTTTGGGAGTCTAGCTATATATTGTCTAGTATGAAATACTTCTGAACACCCAGTAAACAGATGTCCACTGTCTTGCTCCAATAATGGGAACAAACTCAAAACATTTGATAATGGCAAATGTTACCACTGCCACATGATAAATCCTTCTGACGTCACTTAATGAAACTGACACTTTACAGCCACGTTTTGAGGACTCAGGTTATTGGCCCATTTATGAAACGCAATTTCAGAAGAAAAATTCTCCCAACTTCCCTTCAAAGGCTTTACCATCTTCTGTATGAGGGAAAACACCCACACTTTGCTAATGTATGCATTGTTGATAAAGGTGTTAGCCTGGCTCAGTTGATAGCACTTTCATCTTTGAGTCAGAATATTGGGACTCACAGTTGAGTGTGGAAAAATTGGAGAACCTACTCCCAGAATTGTAAGATTGAAAAAAACTTACAGGAACAATTACCATCACCTCCTTCTCGGATCAGAAAAAGGCTGAAGTACCCAACAAGTTCATCAGGAAGGTCCAGTTTAGCAGCAACTGCCTTCAATAAGAAAAATGTCAGAATATTTTAAGATCCCAGAATTACGTTAAAACAAAACTTCATCATGCAGAATATTTTAAAATAAAACTAAAAATCTTATAATTCCAATATTTTCTCTGAATTTTTTCTCTGTAAAGGTGGAGGCTTAACTTGTTTGTGCAGCCAAACATGCTCAACTCTCCTGCACACAATGCCTGCAGCCTACATTCAGTATGGAAACTCAATGAGAGCAATCATTAAATACCATGTTGTGAATAAAAACTTTAAAGATGAAGGCAAAACAAGAACAGGGAACAGAGAGCTTTTGGCTGTTAAACTTGCAATGCCACAGGAGGAAGAGGAAATGCTTTAAAATGCTGTTCCTGTAGTGCCGGAACAGTAAAATGCATTTTCTGTTCATTAACTTCAATCAAAAATGTGGATCCAAATAAATTTGGCTATGCAAATAGCTGGATTCAAAAGTGGCGTATTAGCTTCAGGTAGCTCAAATTGAATACTGAACTTGGGATGAGAATGTTCCAAGTCTAATCCACAGAGCCCTTCTGAGACTGATGAAAGTAACATTATTCTTCAGGGATCTAGCTCACCAATATCCTTTAACCCCTTTCATCAATGTTAACAAACATTGTGATCATAACTGGACAAATACCATGAAGCTTACAGTGCATTGTATTGATAAGATGTGCGGTTACCATTTTTACATCTGTCTTTGATCTAGATTACCTCAAAAACACTGACCAAGATATACCACTAGATGTATCAGGACCTTTGCAAATCACACAACTATCTATCTATGATCTCACAAAGTGTTGAGAGTCTCCATGCCAGGAACAAGCCTACTCGGGGTGCAGATATTAATCTACAAGCATAGCAACGTTAGCTGATAAGCAGCCAATACATAGTGCTTCAAATCTAGCTCCCATTACTGAGTCATCCCACCACAAATTGTCATGTCCCTTTAGAACTTTCTATTTAGAGTGGATCTAAATCCTTACAGGGATGTGCAAGTGAAAAAGTATGGATGTGGAATGTGAAGAATGTAATATTACTGTGTTCTATGCTAGGATTATTTGCAAGTAAGAAAACACTTCAGAGCTTTTTAAGCAATAAACAACCTTTGAGTTTTTAAAACTATGGTTTAACAGATTTTTTTGTATTAAAGGTCTGGTGAGGAACACAAATGTTGTAAATTTGGAATACCCCTCCTCCAAAAAAAATGCTGATAAAAGTGAGATTTCTTTATGTATAAAATCAGATATGCAATATTAAACAGTGAACATTTTTAAAAAGTTCATGCTAAGTATTTTTGAGTAACAGACAGAATCAATTTATATTAAACACAACAAATCCCCAAATGTACATCATAATATGTAGATTTTCTTTACCTCCAGCACATCTTCAGTCTGGTCGGAGCTGAAAATATTGACTTTTACTTTCTGTCCATTGGACAGATATACTTCCAGCTGTACTTCCTGTGTTGGAATCTGCTGAGTCTCCTATATATCCCAAAAAGGTATAATGAACTTAAGAACTTTTTTTTAAAGAACAATAAGTCGAAAATAGTCCTCTCAGCTGCTAATATGAATTAGCAATTGAGTCATCAATGTAGGATAGAATTAGTAAGGCAAGATTAGTCAACGTGTGTATGTTGCTTAGTTTATAAAGTCATTCATCAAATCCTCACCAGCCGTCAAGTCTCCGAAAGGAATGATTTCAAAATCCTCACCCATAAATCCCTTCACACCCTAGCATCTTCCTACCTCTCTGACCTGCTCATAACCCACTCCATTACCAGCTCTCTTTGCTCAGTGGACACAGGTCTCTGATCCCACTGTACTGCCATCGGTGGCAGTGCATTCAGTCTCTACACCCCTAACTTCTAAAAAACCCTGCATCTATCCCTCTGCCTCACCCTCTCTGAATCTTTAAATCCCTCCTTAAGACTTACCTCTTTGACTGTGCCTATAGTCACCTCCCCCTTCTCCCTCACTTGGTGTCCAACCCCACCACTGTGCAGCGCTCCGAGATGCAATCCTGCGTGATTGCAAGTTTGTTGTTGTAAAGTCATTGTAATATAGCCATAGAACTGACACTATCTTACGTTTGATCATACCAATATGAACTGGTGATAATAATCCTTGCATTTGATACAGTCTCACATTGTCAAAACGCTTCAAAATATTTACTGTACAATATCGTGACTATTTGTAGGCGAGCAATTAACACATTGGAAAGAAAAAAATTATCAACAGATAACTTAGTAAAGGGTTCTTTTACAAATCACAAAGTGAATTTGCCTACCATTGTTTTTAACAGATACTTGGTAACAGAGATAAACATACCTGTTGCGCTTTTCTGAGAAAACTATTGAATGTCTCACTTCCACCGAGTACAGAATCTTGCCGTACTAAGAAAGATGAAAACAAAGTGCAGCACATGAAACCACAAACAAGAGCATTAAAATCTAGTTTGCAGGTGCAAAAGCAGTTTAACGAGGCAAATGGGATGCTTGACTGGAATATAACACAAAGTATAAAGCACTGGTCAGACCTCACTTATGTTCAATGTTGAGCATCAATCTTAGGAAGGATATACTAGGTAACAGTTCGCTATATTAAGTCCTGAGCAGAATGGGCTTATTTATGATGAGAAGGTGGACTTTTTAAAAAAAAATACAGAAAAGGTTAAGGGGTAATTTGATTGAGACATTTAAAACAATTAAAATAATTGATGGGTTAGATAGTGGATGGATCTTCTTGGTAGATGGTTTCATTACATAGGGGCATAGCCTTAAAATAAAAAAAGGTTTAATAACCTTGAATTTGATATAGTATCTTATTACATCATTGTGCTATCTTGATTCAATTCACAGGATATCACTGTAAACTGAAGGCAATCATGTCAGCCAATTTGGGCACAGCAATAACCCACAAACAGCAATTAAGTAATCAATTTTATTGGGGGATTGATTGGTCAGGACACTGAGAGAAACTCTCTTCTCTTTTTGAAAAATGCCATACAGGTGGCTGTTAAAAGATCCTGTGGCATTATTTGAAATAGGAGTTTTTTCCCCCAGTGGCCAATCAATTTCCCAATAAAATCGGTCATTCACATCATGGCTGTGGGCCATTGCTGTGTGCAAATGGCTGCCTCATTCACCCACAAAAACAGTCACTCCACTTTACAGACATCCTGTGAAGCACTTCGAGACATCCTCCCGATGCGAAAGGTCCTTTACCAAACACAAGAATTATGGTTATTGTCTTTAACATCCACCTAAACAAAGCAAACAGGGCTTTGGTTTGTCTCATGCAAAGAACGGTAGCTCTGACAATGCACTGTTAGAGTGTTTTATCAAAAAAAAAGTCACTTTGAGAATCCCCTTAATTTCAGTTAGTGGAAATTATTCTAAAAATAGAAGTTACATTTTGTACAACCTAATCAGTAGGGCAAGGCAAATCAGTATTCCGTCACACATTAATAAAGCATGTTTAAGTCAGGTACATTGGCGGGAAAGCCTTCAGTCACTCTGCCCCCAACCTCTGGAATTCCATCCCCCAATCACTCCGCCTCGCCCCCTCATTAGCCTCCTTCAAGTCCCGCCTCAAGACCCTCCTCTTCGACTATGCCATCGGTCACCCCCCTTTTCCCTCCCCTTCCTGACCCCAGCTCAGGTCTGAAATGCTGTACACTGTCCAGCGCCATGGGACGTCCTCCAATTACAAATGTAATCTGTTGTTGTTATTACCAATTTTCAGGTGAATACCTTCTTTTGATGAGTTTATCATTAGAAAAATTGATTTGCTTCAAAGCTTTATGTTCCCCCACCCCAACGGTGCAAACAATAGAATGCAGAAATGCACAAACACAATCTTTTTGCTGGAGCTCGAAGTGCAGAGACAGTTTGAAAGTTAGAGATCAAAACTATGAAAAAGTGAGGAAGAATCAGAGTGTAGCACAGTAAGAGAGAGAGAGAGACACACACACACACACATCGGGGGGGGGGGGGGGGGGGGGAGAAAGAGAAGGGGTGGAATAATGAAATTACACAGCAACAGTGAACTTTGATTATCCAAACTAAATTCCAATTTTTACCAAATGTAGATTTTTTGTGTGATAGTCTTACCCCCTCCCTGCCCCAACCCGATGTTCTTTTATTTTCTGGGACAAAAATAAATTCCAAAATTAGCCTTTGGGTTTTAACTTTTTTCTAATTTGTGAACTTAAACAAATTGTCTAGAAGACATGAAAAGCGCTATATCAAATGCAAGGATTATTACTATTATTATAAATTAACAATCCTTACAAATGACCTAATACAATAAGAGAAACAGAAACAAGGGTTAGATACAAAGCAATACTCAAGACAGGTGTGCTACACATTAACAACCTGCTAACATTTCCAAACAAATACACGACATAAAGCAACATTGGTCAGATCACAGCCTAGGTTGTAATAAAGCTAAGATTGTTATATTCAACTACATATGGGTTAAATTAGACAACAGCAACAACCAACATTGAATGTTCAAATGAGGGAGAAAAAAGATACATGATTCTACAAATACAGAGGTGGGTAAAAATGGAAATTAAAGCCTAAATCATCAACAACAACAAAATTACATTTGTATAGCACCTCTCATGTCAGGAGGACGTCCCAAAATGCTGGATCATTTGCATCTCAATTCAAAGGAAAGAGCTGGTTAAGAGTGCAAATAAATTAGAAAAAACACACCCAAACAAACAAATAATTCAATACAGATTTTTTAAAAATTACATGAAATAATACTGAAGTCCAATCAAAATAAATTCACAATTTCTCAGAATACATTCATAACACTTGTACCAAATTATACAAAATAACTAAACTAATTTAATATCGATCAAAATCTGAAAACATTTGCTTCAGAAATAATACTTAACAAAAGCATGGATAATAATCCCTGCATTTGATGTAGCATCAGTAATGCTAAGATGCATCTTAAAGCACTTCATAAATCACTGCTATAAAGTTTCTTTCAAGTGTACTGACTATTTCTTACCGCTCTGAATATATTTCTCCAACTGCTCTCTGCGCTGTTCGACCTCTGTAGACGTGAGAGTGAAAATCTTTTTAGGAGGAAAGTGCGGAAGTACATGGTTCCCATATTCTTTTCTCAACTGGAAAATAGAAAAAAAACATGCATCCAACAGCTACAGAATCCACTAAGAACTGATGATTTTAAAGCTAGTAAATCATACATTTCAGAATAAAATTTTACAGCACAAAAGGAAACCATATACGTGGAGGATGAACATTTTAAAGAATGAGGGAACACAGAAACAAGACAGTGAAAACAGAAACTGATGGTCCAGCTCCTGGGACAACAAAATTACATTTGTATAATGCCTTTCACGTTGGAGGACCTCCCAAGGTGTTGGACAGTCAGTTTCGGACCCGAGCTGGGGGTCGGGATCAGGGAGGGTAGGAGGGGAAGCAGGGTGATTGAAAGCATGGTTGAAGAGGAGGATCTTGAGATGGGTCTTATCCTCTCCCGCACCAAACTCCGTGACCCCTCTCCCCCGTTCTCGCCCGACTCCATTGGCTCCCTATCCTTCAGAGGATCCAGTTCAAGATCCTGGACTTCACCTACAAAAACCCTCCATGGCCTCGCCCCACCCTACTTCTGCGACCTCCTAACCCCCTACCAACTTGCCCGCTCCCTCTGCTCTTCCCCTTTGTATGCCAGGCCTCTTGAGATAAAGGCCAACATACCATTTGCCTTTTTGATTATGCTTTGCACCTGGAAACTAGTTTTTAGTGATTTGTGGATATAGACACCCAAATCTTTTTGCTCTTTCACAGCTCTTAATTTCTCCCCGTTAAGAAAGTATTCTGCCTATCTTTTTTCGGTCCATAGTAGATTACTTCGCACTTCCCTATATTGAACTCCATCTGCCACAGCTTTGCCCACTCACTTAATCTGTCTAAGATCCTCTATAACTTCCTACTCCCATCTTCACTACTTGCTGAGCCTTCTTTCTTAGTGTCATCCGCAAACTTGGATATAAATCTTTCTATTTCTTCATCCAAGTCATTTATGTATATGGAAAAAACCTGAGGTCCCAGTACAGACCCCTAGGGGACACCACTTGTCACGTCTCCCCTCAATCAGAGAACGTTCCCTTAATCCCTACCCTCTGTTTTCTGCCTCCCAACCAATTGCAAGTCACGTCACAAGGTTACCTTCGATTCCGTGCGATTCTATTTTTGCTAATAATCGTTTGTGTGGAACCTTATCAAATGCCTTCTGAAAGTCCATGTAAACTACATCCATAGACACTCTCTTATCGACCATTTTAGTAGCTTCCTCAAAAAATTCAACTAGATTAGTTAGACACGACCTACCCTTTACAAACCCATGCTGACTCCCTTTGATTAGCTCATACCTCTCCAAATGCTCAGTCACTCTGTCCCTGATGATGGATTCCAGTAATTTCCATACAACTGACGTTAAACTGACAGGTCTGTAATTTCCTGTTTTCTCCCTCCCTTCTTAAATAAAGGGGTGACATTGGCAATTTTCCAATCTAAGGGCACAATTCCCAAATCTAGTGAGCTTTAGAAAATCATGACCAATGCATCTGCAATTTCCTCTCCTATTTCCTTTAATATCCTGGGGTGGAAACTGCCAGGTCCTGGAGATTTGCCTATTTTGAGTCTCATTATTTTCTCCATCACCATTTTTGTTATTTATATTTACTCCCTTTTTGCTCCTTTTATTACTTTCTTTGTCTCCCTTTGTTGCCTTTTGTATTTCTCCCAGGCCTCTGTATTCCCACTATTTTTGCATTTGCGTAAGCTTCTGCTTTTAGCTTGATGGAATCTCTAACCGATTTTGTCCACCATGGTTGTTTAACTACACGATTGGAGACTTTGTATTTTAGGGGTATGTACTTGTTCTGCACAGTATCAAGTACTTTTTTTGAATACTTCCCATTGCTCATCTGTAGGTTTACCCACAAACAATTCAACCCAGTCAATATATTCCTCATCCCATTTAAGTTTGCCTTACTTAAATTTAGCACCTTGGTTTGGGACTTACCCCTTCTCCCTCTCAAATCTAATGTCAAATTCAATCATATTATGAATGTTAATTTAGAAGACGCTTATAAGTATCCACAGGACTGTTCATAGAAAGGGTTACTCCAATCAGGAGAGTTGGGATGAGATTGGATATGATTAATTTTTTTAAACTATAGCATTGGGCCACAATTCTCGAAGCATTCGCATGAAAAGGTTTCACTGTTAACTCACCTGTTCATGCAGTCCATACAGTTGACTGAATCGAACTCGACAGTGCAGTACCCCATTCACGTGGATATTGTAAGCCTGAAACAATGAAACTGCAGTTGTAAAACATCTATATTTGAACATCAATGAAAGTTAAAACTTTAATTCATGTGTCAAATCTGGATATCAGAAGCATCGCATTGAAACAATGTTTTTGGCATAAATGGGACATTCGTCTGAAGTTGTTCCAGTGCTCAAGAGTTAATCTCCAAACACAACTGTTGTCACAATAACTTTATATCCAATATAATAGCTATACAATGCACTGCGGTTTTGTACATCATACCAAACTTATTGACATATCAAATCATAAAATACAGAAGTGTGTTGGCTCTTGTTAGTGATTTCAAACCATCTATGCAGTACATATCAACATCTGGAGCTTGCTTAATATAACTGACCACAGAAATTCATCAGCTCCATTTCTTAAATGCACAAGCCTAAAAAGTCAAGTGTCTCAGACTGCAGCGGAATGGAGACGGAAAAAAACAAATCCCAAATCCCAGCCCCACATTTCAGCGGAGGTCACCAGATCAGGAACATAAACCATAAGATGATTTTTGCTCTTCTTTAGCTAAAGAGTGAAGGCAAAGGGTAACCTTTATTGAGATCAACAAACTGAAACTTTCTGCATCTGCATGGCTCAATTTCACAGTGGACAGCAATTTTATGAACAGCTGTAAGGCAACTTTCAGAAGATTTCTCACCTGACACTCCACCCAGGCAGATGATACATGGGTAGAAATTGTAGTTTATTCTTTGTACAAAATATATATACACAATATACGTGCGAAACCTTAGGCAAGTTTCCTTACTCCATATACCTCTGTTTACCTAACAGTAAGTAGGAACCCTGTTAGTCAATTGGCAGATCGCTTTCCGAAGTGGGGGTAATAATTCCTTCAAAAGAAATGTGGTCACTCAATCCACAACTGTTTGTGGGACACCTCTGTATGCAATTGACTGCCAAGTTTCATCCACAAAATATACAGTCACTATACTTTATAGTATATTCTGTGAAGCGTTTTGAGACGTCTCGAAGACGTGATAAGGCGCTATATCAAATGCAAAGATTATTATTATTTTAGTTTTACCAATCACTTATTCCATGTAATTCGGAACTACATTCTACAGAGCTAGGGAAACAAAGCATGTGGGCCAAAATGCAAACGAAAACATTTTTGCTCGTTTATGAACAAGGAAATAAACCGGATTATACAAGCAAATTTAAAACCTCTAAACACAATTATCTGTCGATCGTCTATATACGAACATCTATATATATTGTATTATATATAAGACATATATACTACTATTATACTAATAAAACGACAATGTGTCTGTGCTTCAAAAAGGATCTCAATAACCGATTGACGCAGAGACATGATATATATTTCATCGGAAAGGTCTTGCACAGCTGGGAGTGACATGGGTATATTTGTTTTTTTCCCCGGGTATCTCCTATCATTCATGAGTTATTTTCAGTTTTGCGTTTTTTGCTTCAGTTACACCCATTGGCCGCCAACTCAAAGTGGCGCTGTGGCATCGTGTGTCACCTACTTATGTCCGCATGCACTGCATGACCTGGTGGTCACGCCGGCTGAATGGGGAGTGGTGGCATCCTGCGTCACAGAGCACTCACGTAGCCAAGTGGTGGGAACAAAATAAAGAACACAGGCAAAGTTACGTTGCGGCCACAACAACAAAATTACACTTTTAAGGCGCTGAGTCCTCCCACTGAGTCCTCCCAAAAGGAGTCCTCCCAGATGAGTATAAGAGGAAATGTCTGTCTGTCCTCTTCACCCTCTACATGCTCTCCCTTGGTGACGTCATCCGCAGACATGGGGTAAATTTCCACATGTATGCGGAGGACACCCAACTCTACCTCTCTGTCTCCACCCTGAACCCCAGGACTACTGGCGTCCTGACCAACTGCCTATCCGACAACTCCCTCTTCACCGGCCTTCCCAACTCTTCCCTTCACAAGCTGCAGATCATCCAAAACTCTGCAGCTCATGTACTCTCACGCCCCAGGCTCCGTGACCCCTTCACTCCCACCCTCGCCCGACTCCACTGGCTCCCCATCCCCCAGCGGATCGAGTTCAAGATCCTCGTCCTCACCTTTAAGGCCATCCATGGCTTTGCCCCCTCCTACCTCTCTGACCTGCTGACTCCCTAATAACCTGCCCCCGCCCTCCGTTCATCATGCTCCGGCCTGCTCCATATCTCCCGCCCGACCCACCCTTCCATTGGTGGCCGGCTTTCAGCCTCTCTGCTCCCACACTCTGGAACTCCATCCCACGGTCCCTTCGCCTCACTTCCTCTCTTGCCTCCTTCAAGGCCGGTCTCAAGACCCTTCTCTTTGATCGTGCCTTTGATCTCCTTCCCACCTCTCTGCCTTCCCTCACCCCTACACCCCCCCTCCCCCATGCTCGGTCCCCAACACCTGACTGTTCAGCACTTTGGGATGTCCTCCCGATGTAAAAGGCGCTCTATAAATGTAATTTTTTTTGTTGTTGTCAATCTACAATCCATATTGGATATTTCGTTGCAAGCATAGCTGCAACGGGTACAGTTAGTACCCGTTACCTAGGCAGGCAATTGCCTTTCCTCATATGGTATGAAGCTCAGTTTAAGGCAAAACAGCTGGGTTGTTTACCATTTTCCTTTTTAAGTGGAGGCATTCTCCTTTAAGATAACTTCTGAGAAATAATTTCTCACATGACCCTTTACCTAGGCAGATGACACATGGGTAGAAATTAAAGTTTGCTCTTCATCTTGAAACAAAATAAAACTGTTACAGCATCAAAAGAATAAGATTAAAGTTTTGGATCTATGTTGAAGTTTAGCTCTGGGTATTATCACAAATCCGATGATTCTACTTAACTGTAGAGATCTATAAAGATATATAGATTAAGTGATAAAACTGAAAGATTGAATTGTATAAATAGTGATTGAAATAATGTTCTAGAATATTGATGTTACTGGGAGGAATGGAGAAAAATGCAGAACGTGGAGAAGATCATGTCATCAATACAATGCTGTAAGAAAAATATCTAAAGCAATAATGCCGTCCTGGGTTAAAACTACACAGTATAACCTTTGACAGTGGATGCTGATCTTAGTTTAACCAATTTAAAAAAAGTTGATCATGGCTGAGTTTAAAGGAGGTCAAAATGATCAAACGGATGGAGCAGATTTGTAACTTATCAAATTAGATCCCAAATTCATTAAACATGAATTATTAAACTGATAAATAAGATGCTGATTCTCAACTTTGTATTTTTTAAGATCCAGAAAAAATGTTCTCCTCCTGTAATTCTGCAGGAGTACATTCGCCTTATTTCTTCACACGTTTATAATGTATAAAGTTGTATTCTATACATCCCATCAAGTAAAATATCGGATATCTCATTGGAACAAATTTACCTGCACCACTCAGCGAACTTTCACATTGAGTGGACTGGTATCTCAGGAAAAATTTGCCCCAGCCAGCCACGTGATAGCAGTTTTGTGGCAAAAATTCTGTGAGTGGAAATTTTAGAACTTGTGCAAGCGAACAGCAGCAAAGTTGCATCCAGTCATTATCCGACAGACATTGTGCTGGGGAACAGCACAATGTGGGACAGCACAATAACTCGTTTTATCTAGGACATTGTTGGCGAGGGCCAGGATAAACTCCTTTCTCTTTCTGAATAGTGCCATCACTTCTGTAATGCTCACTGAATAGGCTGACAGAATCTCGGTTTAAAGTCCCATCTGAAGGTTGGCATCTTCTACAATGAAGTTCACCCCCTGCACAGCACTGTAGTGTAACTTCAGAGTTAACTCAAAGTCCCAACGTGGGGCTTGAATCCACTGCATTCTGTTTCAGAGGCGAGTGTACTGCCAACTGAGCCAGGCTGACACCCGATCATGATTTTCCTCTCGATGAGCCTGGGTACTTTATCAAAATAATAAACAATAGGACCAGGTTTATATCTCAGCCTCGACAGACAATTAAACCCAAGTCAACCTCAAATACTTAAATTCTCAGGTGAATACTTACAATACCAGACTGCTATTCAACCAAACTTTTATTTAAAAATGTTGGGTTTAGAATTTCATGACTGCCACTCAACCTCTACTTAAAATTATACCATAATTGAACGAAGTTTGAAACTGAATTTGCCTTTTTTTAATAAAATGCACTGCATTCTTTATGAAAAACAGAAAGTAAAAATACTACGAGACCAAAAGAAACTCATGTAAACACGTTGGTTTTTAAAAAAATGAATCAAAAGGAGCTTCCCTAAAACCCATTTTACAGTGATTGATTGCAATCAATCACTGTAAAATGTCCTAAAATAATGGAAATCCATTCCAAATGCTAAATAATGTAGAATTCCTGCTGTTCCACTTTCAGACTGGAGGGTAGCATGATCCACACCACAACTTTCTATAAGATGGTTATCAATAGCATGTTTAAAAATCAGAGATTATTATTCCAATGGATGGATGATGTCAACTGAGATGAATTGTCAAATATTTGGAAATAACAATTGACTAATTGTGTGGAGACCCTGGATTCAGTTAAAATCTCATTACCCCTGAAAATAGAAACACATGTGTACTTTAAAAAAAACATATACACAAAACCACTGAAAGGCTGATAAGCTTTAATACTGGGAAACAACCAACTCTCCTGTACTATGTAAAGCTGAAATGGAAAGACTAGAACTAACAAGGTCTCATATGCAACACAAAATCCCAAGATGATATTGGTTTGGCTGCAGTTGTACTGAGATTCCTGTGTTACTGCAAAGCTAAAAACTGGTTTACAGCAATGCAAAATGTGTAGTACAGTACCACTACACTAGACATAGTTAATCAGGAAGTACCATTTTCCAACATTGTTGCTCAATAAATATTCAATTAAGGAACAGTACTATGCCACATGCAACTTACAGAGAAGTAGATTGAGAATTTTAATACTAAATTTATATAAACATCTACAATTAAAATTAAAACAATATAGGAGCACCATCCAATGGTATACG